TGGACTGGTCATTTGGAAACATCTTGTATCATTTATGAAAATTTTGAGGTATTGGTTTAATATTTTTTTACTTTTCTAATAGAACTCTCTTGGAGGTTTCCTTTCCACTAATAATTCAGTTAAAGCCACTGGGCTTTTGTGTCAATTAAATAAGTAATTTCAGTCAGTAAATAATACTAATATAGTGAATGCTAAAAATTGTTTTAACTATGAAATTAATATATTTATAAGGCCAAAATTGTGCTTATAATTGGTATTGTTGCCAAAATATACAGTATTTTATATTTTTAAAAAACTCAATATATTTCAAAGTATGCAAATACTAATATAGTGAATGCTAAAAATTGTTTTAACTATGAAATTAATATATTTATAAGGCCAAAATTCAAAGATTGTGCTTATAATTGGTATTGTTGCCAAAATATACAGTATTTTATATTTTTAAAAAACTCAATATATTTCAAAGTATGCAATGCTATTTCGCTTCTTGGAAGATTATCTAATAAAATTAATCTTTCATACCAATATTTAAATTCTATAATTAATATGCTTTCAGATATATTTTGCTCTGAATAAATAATAGCTTTAATTTTTTAATAGTTCATTGAATTGAGTTAATGTATCCAAAAGTGGAATAATAACGGTTACTTTATAGTAATCCTCAATTAAGTCCACGATAATATTGGAACCATTGTTTTTCTAGGTGAAAGTCGTTGCTAAAGATCATATAATTTCGCCTCAACAATCATATAAATTTCGTAAAATAGCCGATATTATTCTCATAGTTTTCTAAGTTGTAATAAACTAATAATCGTGATTCTCATAAAAAATTTTGCATAAAATTTTGGTGTAATTAGATAATTTATTAATACATTCCATTGCAAAAAGAAATCAGCTGTCGTATTTAAATTAATGATATGCTACAGGTAAAATATGGGTCAGGCCTATCTAATACTTCTCCAGAGGCATTCAAAAAAGGCTGTTCTAGATCCAAAAATGATGTAACAGCTTACGTCGATGGCTCTATCTTGCCGGGAATGTGTTTTTCTTTATTCTTGTATCACAAGAAATTCAAAAATAATTCTATTCAACAAATTCTGTCTCTTTAAATGTCAACATTTCATACACTCTGTATATGTTGTCTAATCCTAGTAATTAGTAGATATAAATGATATTTTTTGGTTGATGTATCTTATATCCATCATAAGAAAAGAAAATATACAAATTTTCGTGGGATAAAATATTTATACACAAGGAAGAAATATTTAAATTAATTTTAACTTAGCTAAAATTTAAAATAGAATAATATTTATTTGAAATATGCTTTGCAATTCACAATTCTTGCTGCTGGCTACGCGTCTGAACATTAAAAAACATTAAACACTTTTATTTTATAAGTGATGCTTTATTCACAATTTTTAATGGGAGTTACGAAGATTTATTACGAGAAAGGGAAATTAATTCAGAAATATATTTTAAAAATGTGAATAAAAATAAAATTAAAAATGTGTATAAACTCGGTATTGGTTAAATTTTTCCAAAAGCATCGCCACCGATATTTAATATCGATATACACCAAATTTTTTCCTAACTTATCTTAAATTTAACAAATAACATATTTTAAGAAATGTCAATTTCTATATTTTTGCCCTTGATATCTCAGGCTGATTATCTATCGTGGATCAGTAAATAATTATTTAAACTTGATTATAATAAAAGAATTTTAGATTTCAGCCAAAGCTTAATGATATGACAGGAGGCCTAATGTAGGCTAAGGTTTTGCACTAAAAAGCTTGATGCTAAATTTCATAAAAATTCCATCGTATTTGCTTGATTTATATAAAAACATATATATGGAGGGTTAATTAAAAAAAAGGTGTCATAAATAATATGACATCGAGAATATATTTTGGTATGGGTCTATTTACCGATGAATGCATGCTAGAGCCCATATCTCAAGACCGATTGGTTCTAGTAGTCTAGAATTATGGATTATTTTTATCAGTGTTGTTAAAAAATGATGTTCCGAACCTAAACGCCGTTAAGCCTTTTCAAATAAAGCTGAAGCGCCGCTATTCTAGAAAATTCTGGAATGGCTACCTTTTTGGAGGGTTAATTTTAGAAACTATTTAATTATAAATGATGAGCCAGTCGACTTGTTGTTTATATTTTTTATTGGCGACATTTTATGAATTCAAAATATAAAACTTTTCATAAAAACTATTTTGTTAAGCGGTTGCAGGCGCGTAACCAATGGGGGGGGAAAGGGGGAAATTCCCCCCCCCCATCGCAAATTTGACTATTTTCATAAATATCATTTTAAGCTAATAAAAATTTTACCCCCCCCCCCCATATTAATCAAAATTTTACAAATATTTGAATATCAATTTTCCAACATATTATTCAAAAATATTAATAAAATGGAAAAATATTTAGTCAAAGAGATTGAAATCAAACGATAATTTATAAATAAGGCTGAGCATGAAAAAAAGTAGTGTCGTCAGCAGCGATATCATTATTGAATTCAATTGATCAATCAGAATTTATCATTGCTGCTAGTTGTACCAATAAATTATTTTTAGCTCACTACTTTGTAGAAATTTACAAAAACCAGATTTGGTTCAGGTTATTGATTTGGCGGGAAATATACATGAACAGGTAGATACAATAAGAATGAATGTAGATAAATATTTTCATAATATTTATCTAGACGTTGAATCGAAGGTTAAATTTTATGATATAACACTAATTAAACCTCGTCTAGCACCTAGGCCATTATTGAGATGAAAATAAATATTGGCTCAACTGAAGAATATTATAAAATATCCATTTTCATCCCATTCTTAGATACTTTTTTATCGCAAATAAAAGTACGGGTTTTAGATAAAAAACAAGTCCTTAGCAATCTTCAAGTTTTATTACCCAAAGATCCTTCTTCATTTTCTAATGCCACTATTGGTAAAATTAAATATTTAGAAAAATTTTATTCCTATGAGATTGATACTGAAATAAATTTAATCAGTGAATTCGAATTGTGGTATAAATATTTATACGTTTAGCTATTTATACGTTTAGCTATTTTACCTGAGCATGCTATAGATGCGCTCAATCGGTGTAAAGAAACCTTGGCTCAATTTCCTAATATTTCGAAGTTGTTTTATATTCTTGCATGTTTGCCTAATACAACATGTACGAATGAAAGGACTTTTTCCAACTTGAGAAGGTTGAAAACATATTTACGAAGTACTGAATCTCGGCTAAATGGGTTAGCTCTGTTAAATATACACAGAGATTTGGTTCCAACGACAAACGAAATAATTAAAAATCTTGTATTTGATAAGAAGTTAAAAAAGCTTGTTAATTTAATTATTTTCTAGTCAATATTTTAAACACACTACTATTATTATTTTCAATAAAAAAATTATATTCTACTTATATTGTATGAGAATTTAAGCTGAGGCTAGTTTTTAAAGCAAATTTTATAAAAAAAATGACATTACACTTTATTTTAATTTTACAATTAAAAAAACTTTACATTTAAAAAAACCTTTACATTTGAAAAAACCTTTACATTTAAAAAAACTTTATTAAATATAATATACCTAACTTTAAATAATAAAAAAGAGGCTTGTAATATCCTATCCATAAGCACGAATTAGTAAATAATAGTTTAAAATAGAAATATAATTATTATTAAATTATGAATAATTTAATAGAATAGCTAAATAAGACCCGGCCGAAGGCCGGGAGAAAGCTGGCCGAAGGCCAAGTAAAAAGGGTTTGGGGGCGAAGCCCCCAAAAAAATTTTTCCCTCCCTATAAGAAAATCCTGGATACGCCACTGAGCGGTTGGATATAAGTCGATTTCAACTCAATATCCAAATATTTAGTAAGCCTCAAAATTTTGCTACCTCGAATTTTGCTATTAGATGCTCAAACCCTTTGTGTCAACTGTTAGCAAAATCTTCAGGCTTGCGTGATATTTTCCAAGATAAAATATTGAGTTAGCCGTTTTTTAAAATCGGTTCAAATCGAGCCGTTTAACAACACTAATAAAAACCATGAAAACGATCTAATGGTATTAACCGATATGGGAGTTCCCATCCTACAAATAATATTTATCTCTTCTAAAAGAGATCAAAGGAATCAAATATTCAGGTTTAATATGTATAGTATAAATAAGAAAATCTCATTCTCGAAAGTTAGCTACTACAATTTTTAAAAAAATCTCATAATATAATAGAATAAAAAAAATGATTGTTTTTGTGCTTAATATTATAACAAATAATTTCAAAAGAACGGCTAAGAAGCAGCTCTCTTTTTTAATTAGGAGCGGTGGGAGCCCGTTTTTAAAAACTCAGTAACGGGAGTGGAAGCTATCTCTTTTTGAAATAATAGGCGCTGTATCTAGCTCCTTTTGAAATTGTACTATGAATGCAACTAGTTAAAATCACTCAAATTTTAAGTCCTTAACTATAAGTATTTTTAAGTTGATTCTAAAAATTTCTATTCTATTGCTTCCAGGTATTTTTAAGTTGATTCTAAAAAAATTTATTCTATTGCTTCCTTTATATAAAATATCATAAGTAGTATATATATCAAACAAAATTGTGTTTACCATTACCATAAAAATATACAAAAAAAGCCAAAGGGAAATAAAATAAAAATGGTAAAGAGCTTCTGCTTTCATTGTAAAATTATAAATCAATTTGTTATCATATTTTTATAAATTGCAACTTTTCCATTAGTAATGATGAATGAAAGCCTGTTTTATTTTAGATATTACTAATGGTGTAAATAAATTAAAAATTATATACCCTTGATAAAGGCGATAGCTCATAATCAATATTTCCAAGGCCATATTGAAAAAAATATTCAATAGAATATGAAGAAATTTTTATATGGAAGAGGGTGGGGGGTTAAAAAACAATAAATTTAAACACTTTGGTGGGTTTTAAATTTTTAGCTGTCAAGGAAAATTAAAAAAATTGATGAGCTTACTTAAGTTAAATTGAAATGTTATCCAAATCGTGGTAGCCAAAATATAAAAATGGCTCAAGAGGACAACGCCCATTACCAATTTGCATGTTCATAATTTATAAATTTTTGTGTCAAATAACGTTGTTGATCAGTCCAGAAGAATACGTTGAAATTAATTACAATATTATAGTATAAGGGATTGGTATCGTAATAATCTGTGAGATTGGATATTTTGGATTGAATAACAGTGGTGGAATTCAATATCATCGCAAATGGGGTAAGAAATGATTTGTAGAATAAATTTGTATGCGAAAAAAATGAATCTTGATTTTGGGCGAAGTTATCATCATAATATTACTAGGTTTGTTATGGTTTTAAAATGGCAATAAAATATGCATTTTTTTATAAATTCTTTTTTTTTAAATAAAAATTAATATTTTACTAATTAATTATGCAAAGTCACGTATTTTATTATTATCGTTGCAATAAAAAAATACGAGAAATTTTTATTTCAGACATTTAGGTACCTTAAATTTTAATTTATATTTAAATATTTTATTTTGGTCTTTAGATAGATTTTAGTAAAAAAGAATCATTAAAAATAATTTAAAATTTTTACTAAAATACTATATAAATTTATAAATAAATATAAACCAATCACAGTCACATAACTTCACCATAATATAAAATAAAATAAATAAAATGAATTAATAAAAATAAATAAGAAACGCGCAAAAGTAAAATTAGGGAAATAAACAAATATTTCTTTTATTTTCTTTTTATCTATTATATATAACATATTGTTATTTTTTTGTTGCATCGTTTATGTTTATGAAAAAAACCCTCCATTTTTTTAATTCTATTTTATGATACATCATGTGAAAAAGATGATATAGTATTTAGTAAAATGAATTCATTTTATATAATATGGGAATGTAATTTATATTTTGAAAACCTTCTTTGGGGGCTTACTTTAAAATATTTTTATATTTGCGAAAGGAAGAGCGTAACGTGGAAATTTAAAAATCGCTTTATTGGAATACCCCTTATAATTTTAATAAAATTTTAAAAAATATGTTGCATATTGTAAAAAGAATTTGGATTAAGTTCAAAGCCTATTTTAAAACTTTAGGGAAACCTAATAATAAAGATTTGAAAAATTTTACAAATGTGTTCTGGTCATTTTTTATCAAAATTTCATGTTAATTGGTTTTGTGACAGCCTACGTGATAAATTTGCAACAATATGTTGGTAATTATGAAGATAATTATAACGAAAAATTTTAGCATAGTTAAAATTTCAGTTTATATATATTTTTTCGAATAACAAAATTAATCTAAAACGAATTAGGAAATTATCTGTTGAATAATTTTTGTCTAAATCTATTCGTAAAAGTTAAAATTATATTCGTTTATTTAACAAATTTGGATATTGAACCTTCAAATATAGATTGATTATCTTCAAAGTGTGGATATTAAGAACTATATCACTTAACTCAGTGGCGTACAGGGTTGCCATGCCTCCCCCATCAGCGAGAAACTCCCGCAATTTTTTAGTTAACACGTAGACATCTCTTTTCCGCAAAACTACCGCAATTGGAAATCTACCGCAATTTTTTAATTTCTCCCCCAATTTTTTTTTTTTAGTATTTTAACGTTTTTGATATATAAATAATAATTTTGAGAGACATTAATTGATTATTTTTATATTTTTAAAATAAATTATAAATATTTATTCGAAAAACATGTCTAGTTTGTAAATTTCTTTCTATCCTGTTTTATTTTTATCCAATAATAAATCTTTCATTCATATAAGTCAGTACAGGGGAGTATGTCAACATCGATTACAATACAAAATTATTCTCAAAATAATAAATAATATAGATGCAACTACATTTGCGGAAATCGTATACATCTATCATGTAGTTTAACATTCACAGAGCTATATCATCACAATGTGGGTCGAATCTTTTTCTCAAGATATTTAACGACTCCAATATAATTGCAAACCTTACTTGTGGCAGAACAAAAATGAGCAAGGCTACACAATTGTTTTAGTATCTGAATCCTAGAGGTCAATTCTAGACGATTTGAAAGATGGGCATCTATATGCATTACTAACAGATGCATCAGGGAAATATCAAAACATTTCCCTCGATCCTTCGCTATTTCAACAAGAATAAGAACATTTCAATAAAACTGTTAAAAAATTTTCCTCGGATAGTGAAAAATACAACAATGTAGCTAGCCACATAAATAGCTGATTCAGGGTTCAATGATTTACATGTCAGCTTTCTGCGCTGATAATGCCTCTGTATATTTTGGCAAAAACCAAAGTTACCGAATTGGGGCAGCACAATAATGAATTAATACCAATTGGCTGTATATGCCATATACTACATAATTCTTGCAAGAAGGCAATGAATGTACTATCTGTGGATGTCGAAAAAATTGTGATGAAATGTTTTAACGAATTTAGTTCATCAACTAAAAGTGTTAATGAATTAAAAGAGTTGGTGAAGTGGTCTGACTTGGAATGGTGTAAGTTGTTGCGATATATACCTATCAGGTGGTTATCATTAATACCTGCCATCGATTGAATTGTAAAATTTTACAAACCCTTAAAAAAATACTTCTTAAATAGAAATTTTAAAAGCTGTCCTAAAATTTTGAAAAATTTTTTCGAGTATGAAATGGCAGAAGCATATTTGGGATTCGTTTCACATGTAGGAAATCTACTTCATGCAATTAATATTCAGTTGCAAAGAATATTCTTTATTAAAAAAGATTCACAAAATCATGCTACAGCTCTGTTCATCTCTACAGTTAAAAATTGATAATACATTTTATGGCGCTATTGCTAAAAATATTATATTAAAATGTTCAAATAATACTCTAATACATTTTTTTATGAAGCAGATATTTTTATTAAGACAATTTTAGAATATTTACAAATCAAAATTTGATTTTAATAATTATATTTACAAATGTATAAATATTATGACCTTGGAACAGAAACCATCAATTGATGGTTTTTATAATTTAATAAATATATTTAAAATACCGAAAGACATTGATGTCTTGTTTGAGGAGATTGTAATTCTCTCTATTTTTTATGATTCGCCAAAATACTTAGTTAGATGGTCTAAAAGCAGAGGAGAAATGGGTAGAATTTTATAAATCCCCATGCTTTGAAAAAATATGCGAGTATGACTTCTCCTTACCGCATTCTAATGCCTCCTCCGAGCGCATTTTTAGCCAGATGAGGACTGCCTGGAAAAAGGAGAGAAATCGGATTGCTTTAATATCATTAGAGGCCGAGATAATGGTTAAACAAATATATAATATGTCATACCAGAAATTTTATAAATATCTCTATAACGATGGTAAACATTTAGTTCTATTATTTAAATCATAAATAAGATATAATTAAGTTTTAGCAATGGCGCCATAAAATTTATTGTCAATTATTAACTGTAAAGATGAACACATCTACAGAATAATTTTGTGAATCTTTGTTAAGATTCTTCTGATTGCAACTACACATTAACAGCATGTAGTAGATTTCCTACATGTGAAATCATTCCTAAATAAACCTCTGCCATTCATTATTGAAAAAAATTAGAACAGCTTTTATAATCTATATTTAAGAAATATTTTTTTAACGGTTTATAAAATTTTAAAATTCTACTATGGCGGGTATTAGGAACATATCGCAACCAACATTGTGCTGACTCAATACTGTAAATACACTCTGTTTTTACCAAATTCACTAAGTAATTATCAAATCATAAAGCTGACATGTAATTTATTGATAATCTCGAATCTGCTATATTTACCATTATATGGTTAGCGATGTCTTTGGATATTTCACTATTTGAGGGGAAAAATTTAATAGTTTTATTGAAACGACCTTAATTTTGTTGAAATAGCGGAGGATCAAGGGAAATATTTTAATATTTCCCTTATTAGATGCATCTATTAGAATTGCATATGTATGCACATCTTTCAAAACGTCAAGAATTGACTTCCTGGATTTAAGTCCTAAAACATTGATGATAGCCTTGCTCATTTTTGTTCTACAAGTATAATTTTCATTTATATTAGAGTTGTTAAATATTATGGGGGAAAGATTCTACCAACATTTCTCTGTGAACGTTGTACTACAAGATACAGTGTTGTGATGATTTAATAAAACATATTGACGATTATAAAACCCATCCATTTAAAATTATAATCTTTGCAAAAATAATTAAAATGTAGACAAAGCATTATTGAAATTTCTTTTATTTATTCCTTTTGTTATTTTAATTATTTTTGCAAAGATTATAATTTTATATGGATGGGTTTTAATTTAATCGCCAATATGTTTCATTAAATCATCACAACACTGTAAGTGGTTACAATTACCGCAACTGTAGTTGCATCTGTATTATTTCTTATTTTTGGAGTACCTTATTATGTATTTAAACGTGATAAGTGATAATTAAGCGCCTATCCCTATAATGTTATACACACACTAGATTTCCAATTGCGGTGGACATTCGCAAATAATATATTTTTAATTGTAAAATTAATATTGTTTTTTTTATAAAATTTTATCTTGTTTACATTCTTTTATATTTAAAAAAGATCGTTGGTTTTTTTTATAAATTAATATATTTTAATAAATCAAGATGTTATTTTATTTTGAAAAATAGTTACCGACTTTGTATTTATATAAACTAATTATAAAAAATAATAGGCGGATAGGCCCGCAAAAAATTTTTTTTTAGCAATTTTTATATTTTTACCGCAATTTTTATATTTCTCCCGCATAATACCAAATTTTTCCAGCAATATGAAAATTTTGACCTGGCAACCCTGATCAAGCAAATAAAAAGATTCCGTAGATGGTGAAAATCTTTTGCTAGCTATTACGAAGCCACAATTTTTAATATCAATTCAATGTGTATAATTTTATTTAATTACAAATATGATTATAGCAAGATGCTACAAAAAATTGACTTGGATTTAAAGGAGATTACGAATATAGCAAAGGATATTGTTGAAATATTAACAAATATTAGAGAGATTGTGGATGAAAATAATTTCATGAATTGCACGAGAATGTAAAGGAGATCGCTAATATGTTTGGGATTGAATTTTTAAACCTAGAGGTAGTTTCTAGACAGTCCAATCGCTTAAATATTGATGCATCTACGATTGAGGATTTTTATAAAAAAATAATTTTATTCCCCTTATTTATACATTTTTATTTCAATTAAAGGAAAGATTTATTAGTCACAATTATATTTTAAAAAGCTTTTATTTTCTTCTGCCGGTTGAGTCTGAATTGTTGATTAATTACACTTAAAACGCGAGAAGATATTAAGAAAATCTCAGAGTTTTATTCTGAT